ATACATTTGGACAAATCGTCACGGAATAATGCAATTAAATATTGTGAAAAATCATAAAATTTATCGGTAGTGTTATATGCGACTATTTCACAAGTATCACTAGTTTTTACGTTGATAGATATATTGTAGGTTAACTGTTTTAGTCATATGAATGTTAGCCAATATGGCCGAGATACCTACTATACGTCTAGATACTATAGACTAGCTGGAGTATCTGGTGATATAAATACAAACCGTGATCCGTTTAAAAAAGCATTTTCGTATATTTAAAAAAAAAAACTTAGTATTCAGTTCGGTATGAATGGGTACCACCATCCAGTTAAATTTTGCCGCTAAGTAATCATGCGTTACAATTTGCTTTGTAGGGCAGGACATATTTGTGCATCTTTTGTCTTATTGTAGGTTTCTATGGGCTTCAGTAACTGCCTAACAACATGTCACGTGCCGTGACATCCTTCGCTAATCTTCGCTAGTAAAAGAAAAAAAAACATTATTATTTAACAACCTCTACTCCTTTATTTATCAGTGATGTAAATGCTAGGTTGAAATATAGCTAATTAAATACATAACTGGTTTACAATCATGGTCACATTGTGCGTCGTTCGAACTCCACATTCATTAGTTAATGCCTACTTCTGTTTGAAGAAAACTAGCAAATGATGCTAGATCAAAGAATTTCCATTCAAGCTTCCCATTGATTCCCTAATCTAGATGAGGAGGACTCATTGGACTGGCATTTTTCCCCTACCTATTCGCTGGTACCCTACGAGCCTGGTGGTTTTACCACCAGGTGTAGGTGGTGGTAGGACCTCCTATGAGTCCGCACGGGTAGGTACCACCACCCCGCCTATTTCTGTCGTGAAGCAGTAATGCGTTTCGGTTTGAAGGGTAAGGCAGCCGTTGTAACTATACTGAGACCTTAGAACTTATATTTCAAGGTGGGTGGCGCATTTACGTTGTAGATGTGTATGGGCTCCAGTAACCACTTAACATCAGATGGGCTGTGAGCTCGTCCACCCATCTAAGCATTAAAAATAAGAGGCTATTCCAACTACGCCCGGACGGGTGGGTGAGCTCAAGGGCTGAACCTGAGAGAATTTGCTAACACTAGCCCTAGCAAGAGTAGTGCTTCGCAGAATCTACCACCGGATCTAAATTGCGACCCACTGAGAATATCCGGCGTGAAACTCAATGGGTTAAATGGCATCCACAAAACTTATTTTAGAAGCGACAAAAAATTTAAAATTGTTCATGTCGGTTGCATAAACTGTTATCTAGTATAACGCTTCCCGTCGCATATCAGTCACAAGTTGTTAATAAGTTGAGGGGAGACGTGACCATGATATCAATGAGTCAACAATCTGGTCTCACCTAAAAACAGTTGACTGCAATATTAGCACCTATTGACGTATGTTTGCTAAAACAAAAAAAAAACTGTAGGTTCTAAAAAGAATTTCCTTGGCTCTATATCAATTTGAGGATCCACAGCATTATACAATTGAAAGCGGTTGTATGGAAGCCGCTACTGCCATTGCCTCACGTATCTCAACTTATGCACTGTGGTAATTGCGTGTCCGTGCCACCCGAGTTTATTAGGTTCATGGAAATAATTAATTAATCTGCTATTTAATGTCTGTGAATGATTGAAAATTTAGTGGAATGCACTAGAATATAGTTTTGTAATACCTAAACCATAAATTGATCGATTTTTAACCGATTATATTATAATTATTCAACACTATAGTATTTACCCTGAATACCAATCATAAGTACATTTACAAATAGATATATTACGTTACATATGAAATGTATGATAATAAAATTCTATTATTTATCAGAGTAATAGAACTTTGCACTGGTATTTACAATGGACAATGACCGAGGCCTGAACAGATAAGCAACAAGAACTAAAATAACTGCAATGTTTTTTTCCCCTCTATAGGTTAATAACGATAACAGCGGCAACATGGTAGTGTGAATCCTCCATACACATACTTAAAAGAAATGACAATGATTTCCCAATTTTGTAATAATATCCTGGCTTTCAAACCGGAGAACTCACCACTATATGGCAGGTCGTCTGTTATCGGCTACCTATATAAAAAAAAAAACAATGAAACTTCGACGACTGATTCGTTATAGAGATGAAGAAAGCACCCTTTTTTAATTCATTTTAGGTACAATAAACTTTTAAAATGTACCATGGCCATGGTATGAAATCATTATGAAATACACATTCATATATTTTTTTTCTTCTTTAAATAAAACGAGTAAGGCGAAACAACCACATCATTAAATAAAACAAAAAACCCTATACATGTAAATTCGTTTTAAACGCGAAAGAGTTGATAGGATTTCCGTAACTAGTGAAACCCGACCACACTCCATTATGACTATCGCTAAATGTGTGAAGTACACTCATTCATTTCATACTATTTCGCGCAAGTGCAAATGGATTTATAATGAGTAAGTCACCGTCGCCGCGTCGTCACCCTAGACACGTCCTTACGGATCCATCAGATCCAATAACTCTTGCATTGGATACATTCAGCTCCAACAGTAGGAGCAGGCTTAGGGATCCCGGCAACCGTACTCGTCGAACTCTGCAAAGAGTTCGACGTGCAACCTAACCCATGCATCAGCCTGCTGAGTTTCTCGCCGGATCTTCTCAGCAGGTCGCGATTCTGATCCGGTAGTAGATTCATTGGCGAAGCAGCTAATCTTGAGTTGTTAGGTCTTCTTCGGAGGCGCTCGGGCAGCTGTTAGCAAATCCCAGCCCTCCTTGCTGAGCCCTGTTCGCCCACCTGTCCTGGTGAAACTGGAAAGGCCTCCGGGCCACCAGAAATAATTCAGGATTTATAGTGGGAGCGAAATTGTATGAACGAAATTGCATTGCATAAAATACATAAAAATATCAATTTTTATGTATTACATGTAGCAACTCGGTCAAATACTTTGGCGAGGCTATTGACTGGTTGCGTTCCAAGTGACAGCAATCAACTTAAATATCACATTTTTGCAAAATATAGTGCAACTTTTTGTCTTAATCCGAGCATGGTAGCACTTGCGGTGGCTCTATTGCTCTCTTTTAGATTACCTACGCTACATATGCGCATCATCCTCACGGGGATGCAGTTAAATGAAACTGTGCGTATCTCATTCAATTCTTATTTGCAGTACGCCAACACGGTCACCGTTTCAGAATACCCCATTGAGACCAAGTGGCCATTCATTAGCTGTTGTCGGAATGCTCATGTTCGAGCATGTCTCCGGTCCCCTTCAGAAAAACTAGGAATTCCTTCACATTTCCCATATGCATTCGTCATGGTCATTAGAGAATTTAATCTTGAAGTGGTGTTCAATATAGTTCCCTATTTTTTTATTTTTTTATTTCACATATTTAAACAGTGAAGCATGTAAATCACAATGACATCGTGATTCGGTAATCGACACAGAACCGAAACCGACATAAATAACTATTTTGTGAACATTCCATAACTAAGCGAAATATTTCTTACATACTTACACATCGGTAGTGCCTATACTTACTTTTGTATCTGTTTAGAAATGTGCCCGGCATACAAAAGTGGTCTCGGCGTAGGTACGTATGCTCGTTCAACGAACTAGCTCATTACGGTACACGAACCAAATATGATGCGTCCTGAATGCCGTGAAATCGCAAAAACTGAATTTTAATTTCGAACACTCTTAGTTTTACATGCCTTCATACATTCAAAGCCCGAACAATTGTTTCGAAATTATTTTTGGTTCGCATGGTGTACCTTATTTAAATTTTCATGTAGGTATGCACACTAGCATAATAAAATATAATGATTTGAATGAAAATGTTTGCGTAATATTGAATAAGTATTAGTAACATTTACTACCTACGTGATGGACAAAAGGAAAGTTGAATTAATTATGTGTAGGTAGGTATGTCTTCGATACTTACGCCCTAATGAAACGCTTGCAATGTATGTAGGTAAATAACGGTCATTCTTTATATCATTTATGTACTCACAGGCTGCAATTACTGGTTTACTGGTGGTAGGACCTCTTGTGAGTCCGCACGGGTAGGTACCACCGCCCCGCCTATTTCTGCCGTGAAGCAGTAATGCGTTTCGGTTTGAAGGGTGGGGCAGCCGTTGTGACTATACTGAGACCTTAGAACTATATCTCTAGGTGTGTGGCGCATTTACGTTGTAGATGTCTATGGGCTCCAGTAACCACTTAACATCAGGTGGGCTGTGAGCTCGTCCACACAGCTAAGCAATAAAAAAAAAAAAAAAAAAATTAAAATATACGCCGCATAAGTTTATAATCACAACATTTTGATTATTGTGCGTTCTATCTTCATAGTAATATCTAATGATGCGATCTCTTACTATTCTTCCATAAGATCATATTATGTAAATCAATATTATTATTATTTTTAAATGTTTCCAATACAGTTCAAGTTTAGAGCTATCAAGGAACACCCATGCACCCACAGGAGAGAGCGAGTCCAAAAAGAGTTCCTTTACCATGTCGCGTTTTATAATAATAAGTGTCGTGAACTTAAATTATATGATGAGCAGCCTCAATTTTATGGAATGGGTTATTAAATAAACGACGTAAAATAGCTGACCTTGTGTTCCAATATCAGCTAATGTAAGGTCCTTCGTGACTTAATAATTTTCCCAGATTGAATCTATCACAAATTTAAAGTCATCTTGGTCAGCATTCTCCTGTTTGTGCAGTATACGCGATGAAATTGATATTAATATAATATCACGCTTCTATATTAGTTCAAAATTAATTTAAAATCCACGATCCAAGCTAAACTACAGTTTTTTTTTTAAGTTTTACATTACCTGTCACTAGTTGTTTTTTCTTTATTTTTCCAATAATGGATATAAAAAAAATTACTGTCTGGATGTTTGCTAACGTAAAAGCCGCTAGACAAGTTTTTTTCATATTTAGAAGGGAATATTAAATTTAAAATCAATCATTAATTTCAGATTTGACGAGGGTCGTGATGGCTTCTTGGATCTCACAGAGGTTAAACGCATGATGGAAAGGTTGGGCGCTCCTCAGACTCATCTCGGTTTAAAAGCTATGATCTCGGAGGTAGATGAAGATGGTGATAACAAGATTAGTTTTAGAGAGTTTCTCCTCATCTACAGGTAAGTCACTATCGTCGTTGACAAATATAATTACCGCTGTTAGGAAAGATTCACTAAAGTGTTTTTTATTACGATAGCTATAAAGTGTAATTTACTAGTATCCCCTGTATGGGATAATAAACGGCTTATAATTCATAACACGCACATCGTTTATTTAAAAGTTTAAAAATATTAATTTTTAGTTGGATCTTTACCTAACAATATATCTCTTATTACTACTACAGCCTATATAGTCCTATTTAGTATGCAAAAGAATTTAAATTTTCCACGAAACTAATAAATTCAGTTTTTCTAAGTGTAATGTCGCCACTAGTACTTTTTAGCCTTTATTAATGCAAAGAAAAACATTTACTCGTACTTTATAAAAGCATTGGAAAAAAATCCGCGTGTACTTTGCTTAGGTGGGTGGACGAGCTCACGACCCACCTGATGTTAAATCGTTACCGGAGCCCATAGACATCTATAACGTAAATGCCGCCGCCCACCTTGAGATATGAGTTCTGAGGTCTCAGTATAGTTACAACGGCGGCCCCACCTTTCAAACCAAAACGCATTACCTACTGCTACACGGCAGAAATAGGCAGGATGGAGGTACCTTCCCGTGCAGACTCACAAGAGGTCCTACCACCAATTAATTATATGATTACTAGATATGATTATTAGATATAAATACGGATTAAGCTATTCAGTTTGAATAATTCACCGCCCCTCGGGACTGACTCGGGTTCGCAAACAATACCCTGTGAATTCAAATCGAGAATATTTCAATATTATTCAGAGCTTTGTTACTCATTTCCAATTATTCTAACATAAAATATTTACGACTGTTCATGTTCATTTACGTGACAAAGAAACGTATTTTTCAAAATTTAAAGACATGGTCAATTTTAAATAAACTAAAATATAATTAACTACCTACCTATCTTGTTTTACAGAAAAGCACGTGCTGGTGAACTGGAAATGGATTCGGGTTTGGACGCTTTAGCTAGATTAACCGAAATCAATGTAGAGCAAGTTGGCGTTAATGGCGCGAAAAACTTTTTCGAAGCGAAAATTGAAGAGCTCGCTAAAAGTAATAAGTTTCACGACGAGATTATTCAAGAACAAGAAGAGAAGCGTCGGGAAGCAGAGGAAAGAGCTCTCCGGAGGCAACAATTTAAAGAAAAAGCTGCGTTATTCCAACACTGATAGAATCGAAAACGATATTGTTATTTGTCTAGTCTGTAAGATGTTATGTTACCAATGCTTGGGATGAGTTGTAGTAACAGTGTATTATTTTTTAAGCAAAATAAAATTAATTTCTCAGTAAGTTTAGAACGGTCTTTAACGTAGCGTAATTAAAATTGTTATATGAGGCCTACTTGCGTGTTTTAAAATTATGCATGCATGTTATTTAGTTACGATTAATTAAAATAAAAATTATCGAATGTTGATTGGAACCTGACACTATCTTGTCAGGGACTCTAACGGCAGGATCCTTATTTGTTTCCGTATTCAGAATTGTAATTTTTTTTCCTTCAGACTGTAAAATAATATATATTGTGCTCGAATGCTGCCAGCGAAAGCCTAATGTTTGCATAATTCGTTGCATTGTAAAGTTATATCATAGTCATTTTAACGCTTCACATACTCATAAAACTTAAGATGTAACCTTGTTTTTAGACAAATGTGATTTAAACAAATTTAAGGTTCTCAAAAGGAAAAAAAATAAAATATTGTGTGTAACAAACATGTTATTTGATTTAATGATACAAATATTTATTAGTATATAATACATTTTCCTTACCAAGGACCCGTCCTGAAAGTGTTAGAGTGTATAAATTCAGTGGTCCATAAACAGAGTGTCAATCTGTTTCATCCAAAACATTTCTTTGTAGGTTCAATTCTTCTGTATTTTGATTTGAAGTAACTTGATTCCTAGTAACTAGTGGTATGTTTTCTATATCAATATGTTGAAGATTAGCTAGTATCGACATCAAAGAAGCATTCTGCAAAGCAAAATGAAGAAATATTATATTTAAATTATTTAATAAGGTACCGGAGAATAGGCAACAGCAATCTATAAATATTATATCAGCATACTGAAATTGGTAATGGAGATTTACCAGTAGTAGGGTTTATTGTAAGCTCGCATGAGTATGTATAAGATTTTTTATAAAGCATTAATGGCTTTGCATTGTGTCTCAAAATGAGCGAAGACACCATTCAAAGCCATCCATCCAATTCATGTTTAATTTCTATGGTCTCCAGCATCCCACTAACACCAGGTAGTCTGTGAGCTCACTCACCCATCTGTGCAATAAAAAGAACTAAAAAAACTTGTTACATTGCCAAAATTAATTTCACAACATTTTCATTTTTACATAATCTTCCATATTATGAATTGTCTCTATTATTATATTTGCATAAATGCTTAAAAGTATAACTGATTCTTAAAAATACCTTCTTTATATTTTTTTCAATCTCCCCTCCAGAACTTGTTAAGCAAATGATTTGTTGCAGCTCATTTCCACTAAAATAAATTACAAATAAATATTCTCTAGTCAGAGAGCATCATACTATGTATCAGGTATTCAGAGCATGTCATGTCTGCAAGTAGCAATTTAGCACTTTTATCAAAATCATATCTACAGCATCTGAGAGAGTAGAGTTTGGTTAACTCTTTATCATGTTAGAACAATAGATTCATCAGATATTGTTCTAATGTTTCCATAAGTATAATTTGGGGCTTGGTACTGTCCATCTGACAAAACTCTATGTTCACCATAAAAAGATTTATTAATACTTGAAGACATATACTATTACCAGGTACTGTACATATATCTTATTAAATCATTTCAGTATATTACAATACAGAAAATTAGAATGCTTAGATGGATGGACGAGCTCACAGCCCACCTGCTGTTAAGTTGTAACTGGAGCCCATAGACATCTACAATATAAATGCCGCCACCATGAGATAAGAGTTAAAAGGTCTCAGAACAGTTACAACTGCTGCCTCACCCTTCAAACCGAAAGGCATTACTGCTTCACGACAGAAATAGGCAGGGTGGTGGTACCTACCCGAGCAGACTCACAATAGGTCCTACCACCAGTAATTATGTAAACTATAGTTTTGAGGGTTTCATTTTATTACACGGTGTTATTCCTTAACCATAGAAAAAATGTATTTGAAGTTCATAACTATCCAGTGTGGCATATTGAGTAATTATTGTTCTTTCTGTTATGTATGAGTGACAGAGCTCCTCCTAATTTCCTTTCTACTATTTGACTACCCACCAGTTATTTTCAGTATGATTTTAGAGAACAAATCTTCAAAAACTTGATCTAGATCTGGTATAAATTACCCCTATTTTGTGCTTCTATAATATGAGTATATGTGGAATAAAATATTGAGTCATAGCTTTCTGAAAATAAATGAATTAATAATTTTGTCAGTCTAATGGGTAGTCATTCAGAATACTGTACCAGTGTACCAGAGGCTGATAAACATATTTATAAAATGTTTGAATATTTAAAAATACAGATAATAAATACTCAGACAAAGAGCAAAAAAAATTTGTTCATCACACAATGTTAGCCTTGTGTAGGAAACGAACCCACAAACCTTAGTGCAATAATCAGGTGCGCTAACGACTGCACCACTAAGTCTGTCAAAAAATGGGTATGGGCTTAGATTCCAGGTCAACAGCAGTGTCTTTGCTTAAAAATTTAATACACAATACAATCTGTGTTCCTGTATTGTCTGTGTTTTCAGTAAATATAATGCAAAATCACAGTCTCCACTTTGAATATGTATAAATCAGAAACAGTTTTAACTATGGTGCAGATTATGCATTGCACACAGGTGTAAGGTGTTAGGGGATGTCGGTCTCAGCACTTTGAATGAGCTTATCACATTTTTATCTGTTCCATTTTGAATGTATGCTTAAGGCTTAGGAGTTGTGGTTGCATGTGGGCACTACATGGGTCTCAGGTCTTTGATGTAGATTATGTAATTTTTATTTGTTTATTTCACTCTATATTTATTGACACATTGACGGAGTTAATGGCTAAGGAATTCTTTACCAGTTAATCACACTAGATAAATTGAATATTCTAATATATAAATACATGCACAAATTATAAACAAAAACACATAAATAATGTACAATAAGTATTACAATACATGATTTTCGTTATAAATAAAAATTATTTTGCTCACATTTTTAAGAGCATTCGTAGAGTCCGTCATAACAGGCAGTAATTTCCTTCCAATATTGAACAGTACTACGAATATTTGAAGATTGGAGAAAATTTATTTTCCATGAGCATAAAACAATTGTCACCGTAACAGTAGGCTCACTTATTGTATGTATTTATTTTTAGAAAATTAGAAATGATTTAACTTTGAAGTTTAATAAAGTTCAATAAAGTTTTTTATAACTTTTTTTGCTCTTCTAACTTTCAAAACGAACTTTTTTAATGTTTTCTGTTGCAATTGGTATTAACAGTATCCATTTAAATACGGTCTTTTGACCGTATTTGGCCAAAAATTCAAATTGTATTTTTGTACTTACATTAAATGGAGCAGTTGATTAGTAGTTATTAGTTCATTTTGTAAATCTTGTTGTAATTGTTGCAATTGAGCCATACTTAATTATAATAACGTACTGAAACGTAGTGTTTGGGATAAGTAATTTTAAAATGTACCGTATATTTTAAAGCACTTATAACGTACCGTTCAAATTTTAAAACTTTAGATCACCTCAATTTCTACCAGAAATAAGCAGTGTTACCATTGTTATCGACTATAATTTAACGAATCTCCAAATTGTTGTATCGAAATCCACCAGAAACCACTAAATTTGGAAAACCTTCGAACAACCAGAAAAACACTAACATATTTTGCTAGAGAGTTGATACGTGAAGTATTAGAACAAAAAAAAAATTAAGACATTCGTCTTCGAAAGAATCGGATTCGTACACGATTTCTGTTTTTGCAGAATTCAGGCAGAAAAAAAATGTTGTACTACGCTATTTAGTAATATGTAGTTATTGCCCTTATTTTCCTTCGAGCTTAAACGAGCACGGATAGTGAGAATTGAAGATACCAAATCTAATTTAACTATCTAATCTAACTTAACTTCATTCGGATTCTGTGTTTTGTCTTGACAACCTCATTGTGCTAAATAATCGCTCTACGTAGGCAATATTATTTTGGCTACAAGTGTATCAATCTAATTCTGTTAACATCAGGGAGAGTTGGTTATATAAATTCAATGTATGCATAATACATTCTATGCAGCAAATCTGCTGTGTAACATCTTTTTTTTAATTTGGCGACATCGAAGTGTGTCTTCAGCTCTAACCATTGTGTGTAAATGCGTGCAATTGTGGATTCTAGAGTATAGTTAACCATCTTTTTTGACAAGAAAGTACCGTTTTAGTGGATCGTGATCATCATGGATGAGTTTGTATAGTTCTATGTAGGCAGCTTGCCTCGACGAAGAACGGCTGAACCAATCATATGTTTTGTTAACAATGAATTCCAGATTTCTGAATTAATATGTAAATCGTGCTAGTGATTGAATATCGTACCTCACCACTCACCACTGACTGAAGCAACGAGAGCCACTAGACAAAACCACTAAAATCAAAATTTGTCCGCTAACAGATGTCTAAACCACCAGATCTCGTGGAAATTCCACTGAGCTGGCAGCCCTGGAAATAAGTATTTTCATTTTCCCAGGCAAATAACCTAAAAAAAATTTTCCTACCTTTTACTTGAAACTGGCATAAAGTTAAAACTATTGCCATAAAGAAAAAAAAAACTAAAAAAAAAACATTTTTCCAACTTTAGGTATCACCCCGTACACCCCCATCCAGTGGTCTCGAACCTACCGATTTTTCAGTATTTCTACCGATATGGGCTCTGTTCTACCGAAATACCGAAATATAACGATTTCTACGATTTCAGAGTACACATGGTTTTTTTTTTATTGCTTAGTTGGGTGGACGAGCTCACAGCCCACCTGATGTTAAGTGGTTACTGGAGCTCATAGACATCCACAACGTAAATGCGCCACCCACCTTGAGATATAAGTTCTAAGATCTCAAGTATAGTTACAGCGGCTGCCCCACCCTTCAAACCGCAACGCATTACTGCTTCACGGCAGAAATAGGCAGGGTGGTGGTACCCACCCGCGCGGACTCACAAGAGGTTCTACCAGCAGTAATTACGCAAATTATAATTTTGCGGGTTTCATTTTTATTACACGATGTTATTCCTTCAACGTGGAAGTCAATCGTGAACATTTGTCGTGTACGTATTTCATTAGAAAAATTGGTACAGCCTGAGATTCGAACACCGGTGCATCGCTCAACACGAATGCGCCGGACGTCTTATCCGTTAGGCCACGACGACTTCACAAATTCTCCCAATTTTTCTACCGATTTGACACTTTTAGACATTATTCATCCAAAAAATGTTAAAATTGGCAAAACTACTTCGATACTTCTTAAGGAAATAGGCTGTCTACTGAATCAATCACTGGTCTATTACATGCAAAACGTCTCTTTAATACAGCTAATTGTTATGATATTGAAATTAATTCGACGATGACTCTGCAGTCATAGTTGCCTATGGCCAAACAATATTGGTATAAAAAAAAAATATTCTTAAATATGATTGTTATAAAAATTAGTCTGTAAGGTTTTTTTTTTTTTTCAATAAACAAACGAATTTGATTGAATAGGTATTGTATATTTTTTTACAAATACCGATTTTGGGTACAAAATAATACAAATATACCGATTTTAGCTGGCAAGTCTACTGATCTCGCTCTATGACGTTCGACATCACTGCCCCAATCTTTTATATTTTCTATTAAATGAAAAATAATAGTGAAAAATTAAAATATATGAAATGGAATAAAGTTGATTTATTTGAGACTGTAAACAATTAAAATGAAATTAAATGTAATAAGATGAGATGGGATGAAATAAAGTCCCAATAAATTCGTGGTTATTTACTGAGAATTTTCAGTGGTATTTTTGGATGATCTCAAGAAGCCACATTCAGCGGCTTTGTTTAATTTTTTGATTTTAAGCAATACACCACCGTGATTACGCATTTAAACCTGAAGAATCACTAAATTATAATACTGATAATAAAAGATTAGGCTGTTCGATGTGATTCTTTCGTATTTTGCATCGAAATGAAAGCACGTCATTGTGACATCGACTTTAGATTTCAACTAATTTGTCCACAAACTAAATAAATACTGTATTGGATAAAAATAAAATGGAAGAGGCCGTTTCTTTGAAACACGAAGGGAAGAACATCGACATTAAGCAAGAGAAACAAGATAATGTGGACAGTTTTAAATACGAATTTGATTCTGGAAGTCAAGACAGCAGCAAAAGTGGTAGTGGAGGATATCAGCGGTGGGCGCCTAATTTAAATGGTGTCCGGAAGAGTGCATTCACACCTTATAAATCGGTGCAATGCACTGCTTTAACTAACCTGCAGCGAGGTGATAACTGTGTTTAAGTTTAAAATAAATTCGTCGAGTTTTTAGTGATGATATTGATTATTGATAACGCCGTGATACGGATAATTTTTTCAAGGACGCTTTTGTAGGTAATACGCAGGCGCGAGTTCCGGAGCTACCCCAGCCGGATTACAGCCTGCACGCGAAGGCAGGCCGTGGAGAAATCACTCGTGACGATTTGAAACTGGAGCAGTATGTCGACATCACGGATGAGCATGGTCTCACGGCGCTGCACTGGGCAGCTAGTTATGGCCAACTAAACAGCTGCCAGGACCTCGTATGGTGAATATTAACAAGTACTTTGTTCTCTTTGTGTAGTGCTACTAGATTCATTTTATCGAAACTAGGTCAAATGAATAACTGACTGAAAATTGATGAAATCCTTCTCTTACTGTTGAAATAACTTAATGGAATAAAATAGGTGTGGTGCCAATGTTAACATGCGGGGTCCAGAAGGTGAGACTGCTCTACATCTGGCTGCAGCTGGAGGGCACCATGAGGTTGTGAAGTTTCTGTTAAATGAAGGGGCTGATGCTGACATACAAGATGATGTAAGTAGTATTATATTTTGTATTATTTCCTACTGCCTCAAGAAATGTAAAATTGGTTTCCTTATTTTAAATATTTGCTAATGTCAGAATTATACACGTTAATAATTGAGATAGTCCACATGAACAATCCTCTCATCCTGTACAACATAATGACCACATAAATGAGGATCAAATGTAGTATGTTAAGATCGTCTTTCAACTACTCTGAGTAACTGAGAAATTTAATAAAAAAAATTATTTTGAATATTATAATAGTCTACAGCAAGGATGTGCAACATGCAGCCTGTGGGCTGCTTGTGCCTGACCATGCATTTCTAAAATTGAATTTATTTTATCAACTTTCTCCCATCAATATATTATTAGAAAATTAATTATAATAAAATGATAGTAAAGTAAAGAAAATGATGTCTCTGTTCGGAAGTACCAATGTTTGCGAACAATTATTTTCAACCATGAAATGAATCAAAAATGGCCGATCAAGACCGAGTGATGGACGATTAGAAAGCTGTGTAAGTGTAGCTACCTCATCCATTCTGGCTGATATTGATCAGCTTGTATTGAAAAAACAGTGCCAAATTTCCCAATAAAAATTCCAAGTAAATTCCTGTTTCTATTCTTTTCTTGTTTGTTTTCATCTTGCATTAAATTTCGTATATGAAACCATTCCTTTTTTTGTTGTTTTATATTTTTTTATTCTAATATTTATTATAAATAAAGTTTCGTAAATTATTAATAGGAGTTAATGTGCAAGCTGACAAAAAAAAAAAATTTACATTGGCCCATTGATTAAGAAGGTTGCTCACCCCTGGTCTACAGTAATGTAAACTTCTGAGACTAGTTTGTACAAAGGTTGAAGACTTCCAACCTCGGTTCATCCCTTGATCAAACCATTATTTTTTGTTATGGTTATAAAATAAATTGTATACATGGTTTAGAAGTGAGTTGGGTTTATAGTTCTTAAATTTCAATAGCTAGTGTAAAAAAGTATTACATGTTTTGCTGAGATGACTATAACCTGTGTGAGCAGCTAAGAATGAATTATATTTATATAAGAAGAAAATGAAAAGAATTTATTATGAAATAATATATATCATGTTTATAAATTATAATTCACCATTTTATACACTTTGGTATTACAAGCAAGAATAAATCATGTTCTACACCACAAATAGGCCACATAGCTTCATCAATTTAAATCTGCCATTGATTTTGGTTTCTGTCATGAATAATTGCTTTGTTACAGTCTGGTAGTACTGCATTAATGTATGCAGCTGCAGCTGATTTTCCTTATACTTGTAATGAGCTCCTTATCAGAGGAGCAGATCTCACTTTAACCAATGATTATGATCAAGATGCTTACACTTTGACAACTACTAATAATTGCAAACTGGGTAAGTTATACTAAAATTGTAATAATCAGATGTCTATGTCATGTTGTAGTTGGAATTAATTATTGTACTTACTTGGTCTATGGATCTGGTTTGTGTGTCATAATTATTAGTCACCATATCAGTTCACATTATCATTATCAATTGTCACCACATCAGTTTTTAGCACTAATGTTTTGAGAATGTTGAAACTAACTTTACTACTGATGCTAGGGAATGTTGTGAGCCAGCACAAGTAGATACCACCACCACCACCACCCTGTATATTTCTGCCACAAAGCAGTAAATCATTCTGGTTTGTACCAATGTTTTTTTTTTATTGCTTAGATGTGTGGACGAGCTCACAGCCCACCTGATGTTAAGTGGTTACTGGAGCCCATAGACATCTACAACGTAAATGCGCCACCCACCTTGAGATATAAGTTGTAAGGTCTCAGTATAGTTACAACGGCTGCCCCACCCTTCAAACCGAAACGCATTACTGCTTCACGGCAGAAATAGGCAGGGCGGTGGTACCTACCCGCGCGGACTCACAACAGNGAGATATAAGTTGTAAGGTCTCAGTATAGTTACAACGGCTGCCCCACCCTTCAAACCGAAACGCATTACTGCTTCACGGCAGAAATAGGCAGGGCGGTGGTACCTACCCGCGCGGACTCACAACAGGTCCTACCACCAGTAATTACGCAAATTATAATTTTGCGGGTTTCACTTTTATTACACGATGTTATTCCTTCTAAGTCAATCGTGAACATTTGTTGAGTACGTATTTCATTAGAAAAATTGGTACCCGCCTGCGGGATTCGAACACCGGTGCATCGCTTCAACACGAATGCACCGAACGTCTTATCTTTTAGGCCACGACGACTTCAATGTACTTGTACTTTGTACGATAGACCGAGACTTGGAACTTATGTTTCAAAGGTGGGTGGCGGCATTTAGTTTTTGTCTATTAGGTCCTGTAATCATTCAACATCAAAAGTTTGTTAAATTTTTTGTTTTTTAAACAAAAAAATAAATCTTATTTAATAAGTGAATGTGATTAATTTATATTTGAAATAAAGCAAAGTTTTTTTCTTTCAGCACAAACTGTGATAGAAAACTTCTTGATTGGCTGTCTCAGCAAGATGTGAACACAGACTCATATTAAGTTGCTTTCGACAACCGACACAATAGGATTCATTTGCCTCCAAGAGTTAAGTGAAATACAGGGATTTAGTTTATAAAACATACAAATTATGTATTTAATATATTTTTAAGTTCATTATAATAATTATACAACAACAATACAATGTGACCACAATAACTAAATGTAATTTGATTAAAGATTATCAAATGAATTGGTTATTATTTGTCCTCTTATACACTAATAGCATAAAATTACTTTCTCAAATAAAAGTACAAAAATATTTACTATAAAAAAAAGAATCTGCCTTGTACAACAAAAATAAATAAATTGATGCAATACAACCTGAATTAGGAAGTACAGTTTCAACAACATTAAATGCGGCAAAAAACCCTGTACCAAAGCATTTATTCTAAATATATTTTTTTCTTTCAAAGTTTGGATTCTGTAAGCCAGTTGAACGTTTGGGGTTTCCTATTAGCCTGTGGGTCAATCAAGATGTTGATAATACTCGGTTTATCAGTAACAGCTGTGGCCGTTTTAATTGCTTCTTTGATGTCCTCGACTGTTCGACAAAGATGACCAGTCTCGCCGAATAGTTCCATCATCTTTTCGTATCGTACTTCACCACTGAGAGCCGTGGGTGGTGTACTGAAAAAATTAATACATGTAACTAAACATGGGTCATCAAACTTTAAATAATAAGGGGATATGGTTTATTGTCAAACTTATTGAAAATACTCAATTTAATTAGTTCTCAGAATTTAACGCAAAAAATATAAAAGACAACATACCACTGAGTAACATCGCCGCCAGATTGAATATCTGCCATTACTTCTTTATCAAACCCATTGTAAATTCCATTATTGTTTACAATGATTATAATTACAGGTAACTTGTACCGGAACATTGTCTCTATTTCCATGCCTGAAGAAATTAGAATGTTTTATGAGATGGGTGTAGTTTATTTTTAAGTTGAATTGCAATTTTCCTCAATCACTAGCTTGCTCTTAAAACACTGACTTTAAGAATATAAACAGGACTAGGCTGTAATAGATAAAATAGATGTACTAACAATTGATATTTTTTCCTACATATATGTCAGTAGCCTTTAGGGCTTTTCTAGCTTCACCCTTCTAGCTAGGTGGGCAAGCTCACAGGGATCTAAGAAAGAAGAACTGTTGAGAAACTTAGTGAGCATGTCGTGCCCCTTTCTCAAAGAATTTTTGGGAGGTGATGTGAATAAAATATGTATTGAATGACTTGTTTGCATTTGAAAATAACAAATTTTAGAGTTGTAAAACTTAGCATTGGGGTTGTTGGATACCACAAAGGATTTTTAATTGCACACTCTCCTAAAATCAGCGAGCAAACAAGGAGTAAATTATATCGCTCGTAATGCTACTACATATTGGGGAACCAACCAACCTGAGAAGCCAAAAGCAGAGTCTCCTTCAACACAAATGACACGTTTACCAGGAGCATAGTCTCGACACCACATAGCTGCTGCAATAGCAAAGCCAGGTCCAACCTACACACAAAACGAAAATTTTGATAATGAGAGATTGTGATTACACAATTCACTTTGGACATATACATACTTACAGGTTTTATGGTAATTTAGGAATATGTACTTTCATATTTAAAAGTTTAATGCAAATTAAAATTTTCCTAGTCTACTCCTCAAAAAAAACTCACCCCCATAGTGCCAAATGTACCAGCGTCTAGCCTGTGTCTCGGCTGATTATTGAGCAATAAACCTCGGCCAATATCCATGGTATTAGCTCCTTCGCTGACAATGATTGAATCTTTTGGAATGCCTTGTTGAACTGTTTTGAAAACAGTGTAGTAGTTCAGTGGTACTGCAGTGCTGCTTGCTTGAGCCTATGAAAATTCAAATTTTGTAAAGCACAATAATAACAATCTAGAATGGTTCAGAATTTTCTATTATATATATATATATAGTATGCTTCCTAAATTTACAAAGAAAATGTCGACAACACTGGTTAGTAACGCAATAATATATTGACATATCTTTAGTTCCGAATTCGAATCATTCAAATATTGGTTTCACTCAGCTATCAAAAAAATTAAAGGAGTTATGAAAATTATTCGAATTGACTGAAATACTATAAAGGCAATAAAAAATAACGAGATTATACCGAAAAGTAGTTTTAATTCAGCATTAATTTTATTATTTAGGAATTGTATGACAAAAATAAAATATAAATTTTAACATACCTCTACAAATTCGGTGTTTGCTTTTTGTTTCTGTTTCAGTCCCTGCCACCAACTGTTGTTTTGAGGTTGCAATGAGAACTTCCTTTCGGACAACCTTTTTACAAGAGCTTCTGTAAAAGGTCTAACGTCTGAGTGTACTGCTAATTCTGATTTCTTGCTGTTGTGAAATTCTTCAGGAGATATTTCGACCTGTGTAAGCAAATTTTTTTTTATCATGCCTAATTACAGAGAAAGTATATTACATACTCTACCCAAAATATTAAATTCATAATTGTTTTGTATCACAATGAAATAAAATAATATTAATTTTAATCTTAGTGCTTATCTAATGTTAGAATTTCAGTTTATTTATCAATAAAAGCCTTAATACAATGTTGGGAGACAACATCAACTGTATTATTGCAGGACAGCCGTGGTACGAGAGGACGTAGGAACGTAGATTTACCACGACCTTAACGCTGATTCAGCGAAGCACTGCCATTGCTAGGGCTAGTGTTAGCAAATTTCCCAGGTTAAGTCCGTCAGCTCGCCTACATGTTCGGTGATGTTAGATAACCGCTCGAGCTAACTAACATAGGCAAGCAAACATAAAATTCCATTGGGATAGTGGAAATCCGGCCCTTTAACTACAGCGAGATGCTTTGTGGTGAAAAGATAGCCCGAGAAAGGCTGGATAAGAATATACCATCAACGACAGCGGGAAGTTCTTCCACAAAACGGGTTTTATCATTCGATTGACCGACAGTCCGAAGGTTGCACTCTATTCCAATTCCGAAGTCCCTTTTGACACTTCTTAGAACGTAACTACGTTTCGCATAATTTTAAATAATAATCATTTTTTGTTCATGGTCTTAACATCATTATTAAACACATCATTAGTAAACATCATTTAAAAAATACACAATTAATCTAAATGATTATACAATTAATTCACACACACAATAACATAATATGTATCATGGGACTTCTCTCGGATCGTTTGGAGCCTCTGGGTCTGCGGAGGGACTTCGGTTCCCTCTGTATTTTGTACCGTATGTTCCATGGGGAGTGCTCTGAGGAATTGTTCGAGATGATACCAGCATCTCGTTTTTACCATCGCACCGCCCGCCACCGGAGTAGAGTTCATCCATACTACCTGGAGCCACTGCGATCATCCACAGTGCGTTTCCAGAGGTCTTTTTTGCCACGTACCATCCGGCTATGGAATGAGCTCCCCTCCACGGTGTTTCCCGAGCGCTATGACATGTCCTTCTTCAAACGAGGCTTGTGGAGAGTATTAAGCGGTAGGCAGCGGCTTGGCTCTGCCCCTGGCATTGCTGAAGTCCATGGGCGACGGTAACCA